GTTACTCTATATATTTAAATCTATAAATATAAATGAATAAATAAATAAAAAGAAATAAGTAATTTTTTAAAAAAAATAACATGGGGAATGTATGGATAACTGCAAATCATTCCAAGTTCAAAAAAAAAATTTCACTTAGTCATCCTCACTTATACATGGACACATTGGCACGCACACAGCAGAGCCATGCCGACTTTTTATAATCAGCAATAATCAGGTTATTTCCATTTTATTGCATTCCTTATTCCTCCGGACTAGAACATGATAAAAATTTATGTGAATGAGCAAGTTAAAAAATATGACCTGCCCTTCTAAAAATTGTCTTGTTTAAGGACAGAGCCAGCTCTGTTTATACAACATTTTTATCATGATATATATTCTGTTTAACCCGGTCAACCAAAACTTTTAAGATGTGATATTAAACATACAATTATTATCAGAACTGCTGGGATTAGCAAATCTGAATTTGTTCTGTGATTTTTTTTATCTCAACTATTTCTTTTATTGTACTCATAAATTATCAGAATTCAAATATCTATATATTATCAATTTTACTTTATATTTATGTAACATTAACAGGACAGAAACAAAGTTAAACGTTTACTCATTCATTTTAGTATTCCTGTTCAGAAACATACAGAGAAAGAACAAAGAAAATGGACCCAAAATAAAACAAGCTTTGCAGTGAGAAGTGGACATGGTTTTATTGTGAAATCAATGCTAGGTCAAGGAAGTTTCTCAAAGTTTATAACAATGTTTTATACCATGTACTTTATATGGCCAATGAAGAAGTTGGAGAAACTTCTACGGGTAACAATCTGAAGGTTTGAATGTGTCTATTCCTAGAACAATTCAATTGAAATAAAAACTCTTTCTTTGCTATTTTACAGCTTCCAAGTACAGATTAACTGAGGAACAATACACAATAAAGTACTTCACGATTATATAATCCTTCATTTGAGTTTCCCAATAATAGTCTGGATCTTGTATTTATTTATATATTTATTTTTATTTACTTATTCAATTTCTACAGCCATCCATACATAACTATGGGCAGCTCACAACAATTAAAACAGGAACATTACACAAATTGAAATTTAAATGAATAATAAAAATAGAAGAGTATTGTATTTCCTTACAGATAAACATATTCGTTGTGCTACTTTAGTTCTTTAATTCCATTATATAATTTTCCTAAATTATAGATAGGCAAGCATGTATGAAACATGTTTGTGTGTATAGATAATTGAAATGTACTTAGCCAATCAATGAAATGCATGCAGTAATCAAAGATTTGAAGGAATTCATTCTAGTGTGAAAAACATATGTCCTTTTACTTTTTTACTTTATTTGACTCTGTGTCATTTACATCTCTTTAATTAGAGGTGTGCAAATGTTTCCCATCAAAGCATTTTGAGTTGGAAATCTTAAAAACTGACCTATTTAACCATGGAATTATTATTGCTTTGTGTGTTCTGGGAGCATCATAACATAATTCTGTTTGTACCAAAATGCTCAGGCAGGCTCTCTGCCAAAATAGCAGTCTTCGACTCAGAATTGAAAGTTTCATATGTAAAAATTACACAATGAAACAATATGTCTGAGGTAATAGACATGAGTGTAGAAACACTGATACTGAATCAGTTTGGTGCTCTTTTACTCTTTACTGTTTTTTACCATTACAAAATCATACAGCAACCCTTGAGAAATTGTTTTGCCTTTATTATTGGTTCCTTTTCTGGCAGCATATTCTTCTCCTTTCAGACATTTTGTTCTTAGCATATGACACAAATGAAGTAAACAAATTAAATCAAATAAAAATAATTAAGCCACTAACATGTTTAAATGGATTTGTAACCTTTTTTTATAAAAATTATGTCTTCAGTTCTTTACATTTGGTGTAATTGTCAGTATTTTCACATCTACATTCATCCTGCATAATGTTTTTCCCCCTCAGTCAGATAACATTCATCCTTTGAGATGCATTTGAAATAGATTTTTTGTCACAGACTGGCAAAAGAACAGGCACATCTTCAATCCCACATACATTTCTGAATTCAAACCCAGGTTTTAGGCTTGTCTTTATCTAGGCATAGCAATTAGCTCGTTAGCTGAACTGTATTCAGGTACTGTATTGCATAATCAATCCAAAACAGAACAGAATAACACAGTTGGAGGTCTTTTAGTCCAATCCCCTGATCAAGAAGAAGTGCTATACAATGTTGGTGAACCTCTTCATCACCGAGTGTTGAAATGGGAGCACGCATGCATGTGCGCACATGTGTCAGAAACCAGAAGAGCAGCCACCCAGAGTGCATGTGCGCCCCAGGCAGCTGCTCTTCCGGTTTCTGGCACACACATGCAGTGGTTTGATTCAACTGGTGTAACAACCAGTTCAGTGAGTGCATGCTTTGCATGTGTGCATGTGTGAAGACCAGCTGGCTGGTGTGCATGTGCATGCACATGCTGTAAACTGGAAGAGCAGTCGCCCAGAGCACATGTGTGGCCCAGGAAAATGATTTTCCAGTTTCTGCATATGTATTGGCCAGCTGGTCTTCATGCATGCATGCACACTAGAAACCGGAAGACCAGGTGGCCACGTATGCCACATATGCATGTGCTGGAAACCAGAAGATCATCTTCCTGGCATGCACATGCGTATTGGGTGGCTGCTCTTCCTGTTTCTGGCACTCCCAAGTGCAAGAAGACCAGCTGGCCAGCACGCCAGAACATGGAAGAACAATGGGCAATGGCTTGTGTGACTGGAGAGATGGCTCTGTGTGCCACTTCTGGCATGCATGGCATAGATTCACCATCACAGTCCGATAAATAGCTGACTAATCTCTTTTTTAAAGCTCCCAGTGATGGAGTATCCACAACTTCTGAATGCAAGCCATTCCACTGATTAATTTTTTTCACTGTCAATAATTCAATAAAAATAATTTTGGGACCAAAGCTTTCCAAACTGATTTCATTTTAGCTACTGAAAAATGCTGCAAATTTGATAGCATCCTGGCCAAATTATGCAGAACTTTTGAGAAACATTTATCCATATTAATTCAAAAGGACATCAGCACCAAATTAAGTTAACCTCCTTAGAAGCAGTCATACATTTATCATATCAGTTGAAGAGAACCAAAAGAAAAAAGAAAATAGGAGTTGACAACCTAATTTTACCTTAATTATCTCACCATCTCTTTATTTCCAACACTGAATCCATCAGTGTCTTGTTTGTGTCACGTATCAGTGTTTATACCTTTATTTACAATATAACATCCACTGTAAGATTTATGTTTATTTATCCAGCTATGAATTCCTTTTGCTCTTAAGAAAAGTTGGCTTTTCTTCTTTCACACATGCTCCAGGAGTGGTTTTGAGCAACTTTAAATTCACAGTATCCACTTTAAAAGTGATAGCAATAGTATTTAGATTTATATACCACTTCATAATGCTTTACAGCCATCTCTAAGTGGTTTACAGAATCAGCATATTGCCCCCAACAATCTGGGTCCTCATTTTACCAACCTTGGAAGAATGGAAGGCTGAGTCAACCTTGAGCCGGTCAGAATCAAACTCCTAGCAGTCAGCAGAATTAGCCTGCAATACTGCATTCTAAAAACTGTGCCACCATGCTCACATGCTAACATGATATGCTTAGCTGTAGAATCATTTCAGTCTTCTTTATGTGTCTAACACTGTGTAAATATGGTTATTATCCTTATATGTTTATAATGTTCAAAATTGTATAAATACTTGGAATGCATAACCATGCCAAAATAAACATTTTACAATGATTTGACAGTGTACAACTAAAATTACTATATTAAAGAATGGAACCTAACAAAAATATGATTTATTCTGGAAAATAACTTAGAAAAGGAACTTGTAGTAATGAAAACATGAACACCAGAAATGCACATGAAAATGCAATGGATTATTTACACCAGCCTTTTGAGGAGTGGGGTAAATTGTAGAAAAATTGTTAAAAGTTTGCAGTTGATAAATTGGAAGAAGGAGAGAATTGAAAACCAAGGAGAGTTCATTAATAATTCTTCATTCACAAAAATTATGGGAGTAACAATGATATTAGAATAAATATCTTAATTTTTAGGAATGAAATATTAGAATTTAAGGATACATTCAGTGCTGTTTTGTTCTTACAGGCAAGATAAAGAAAATTACAGTATTAGAATTCTCTTCTTCTCCGCCTCCCAAACTCAAGACTAAGAATGAGATTTCTAATCCAAGGTGAGTAGGGGATTCCACTATAATCTGATATTTCTGAAGAATTTTGTATATTTTATTCTTGAACTTGTATTGCACTAAATTGTCTTCAGATTCCAGAATACCATTTAGTGCAACTTCCACATCCACATTTGCGGCTGTCTCAAGACAGTACGATTCTGACAGAAATTCTGAAAACAGGATTTACTTTGCAATAGATTTACCAATTTTTAGTTACCAGAAGAGTAGCTATGTGAATAGAAAAAAATGTGTGATATATAATACATCTGTTACAGGAATGTATTTCATAAAACATGACCCATGAAAGCTTTATGAATGCAACATGTGTTAGGAATTCTCAAAATTGTTTGAGGATTTTTGTTATGAACAATATTACAAAAGAGCAACTTAAATTTATGTCATTAAAACCACACAGAGTTTTTAAAAATACAAACAGCGTTTTCAAGTTTGAGGCTTTTCTTTATTATAGTTGAGTTTCCTACAATAAGTTTTTTTCATTTAGTAAGATAGTAAAGTTAATGATCTATTATTAATATTTAATTCATTTATCATCAATTGTACTAATAATCTTTACTGTTTTATTTCTGTTCATGTGAAGCGACTAGAATTCATGGACAAAAATAAAACTAACATGTTCAAATAGCCAGATGAAGACTCTGGTTGATTGTAGATGTTATTTTATACTTCAGATGACATTCTATTTGGGACAGGTACAAACCCCCACAAATTCACATTTTTAATTATTCATCACTTACCTTTTACTATTAATTCTGCATAGTTTGAAACTCCTGATCCACCATCAGAACGGATTACACATCGGTATTTACTGATACTGCGTTGGGATGTATCAGCTACACTGACAGTAGCAGAAAAACGTCTATGGTTGACGACTCTGGTTACCATTAATGCTGTGTCTCTTCCATTCCACTGCTGCCATACAAAGAGAGGGAAAAAGATCTAGGTAAGTATAACATGTTGATGAAAAGAGTTTTCCTAACTTATGTTAATTTCCTTCTCTGAAAAAAACATGACATCTTTTCTCCCAAATGAATTAGTTAAACTTGGTGTGTATTGCTAAAATTCAATTTCAGTTTAGATCAAGAGCGGTAGTTACTGTATATTTTACTACCTATCAACTATATGAGTAGTTGTTTCTTAGGAACAGAAGCCAGTTGGGTGATTTTGGGTCAGCCAATTCCTCTCTCAGTCTTAGAGAAAAAAATCAAAACAACCACTAATCTACCCTGGATTACCCTGATAGATTATGGTTTATAAATTTCAATGAAGAGAGGTTCATCCTGCAATGGACTGAGTCAGGCTGATGATAGATTGCAGCATAGCATTGTTCCATTATAAAAGCTATCAATAAAAAAAAGGTTGGATTTGTAGAAATGTAAGATTCTGAAATGTGTGTCCTTTATGGGGATTCAAAGGTCACCTAGTGGATAAGATATATGATTCCATTTTCTTCCTAACAGTATAAAGTGACTCATGCCTCCCTTTTGTAGATATTAGGCCAAGATCAAAAACTCATTGGATATAATAAAAGTATGCAGGGAAGGCTGCACAATCCATCCTGTATTTTGCTTCAACATGTACTGTGGCCTTGAATTGCCTCACAGCAGATGAAAGAATTGTAACAACTGCCTTCATTTAAAAAAAAAAAAATCTTACTTATTCTGTTTTCTTTTTCAACATAGATGCTAGCTGTGAATTGAAAAAACAACAATATATATATATATATATATATATATATATTGTTGTTCTCAAGGACAAACAGATAACACAGATGATTGGCAGGGTATATTTGTGCTGGGCTTAGAGACTACTTATCAGAGGCAATTTATTCAGCTGAAACAATAGTACAGTCAGTTCTTCGGAGTAAATCTGGCAGTTCTAAACTATAGTGGTTGTAGTAACAAGCACAGCCATCCTTAAGAAAGTAGTAGCTGAGATTTGAGCTATTTTAGAATTTCTAATAAAAGGTGTGATTGAGAATGATTAGGATCAGAATATAGATTAATAAAATAGTATGACTGAAATAATTTAGGTTTGCAAATAAAATGTAGAAGCAATTTAAAAAGTCTTCAAGTAGAAATAAAGTAAGGCATCCTGAAATTTCCTCACATTGATCTCATCCCATTCTTTTGAAAGATTAGCTTTTAGTGTCTTGCTTGTTTCTTTTTCTTTACAGCCTCAAAATCAGATCTCTAATTTTGTTAATTCTGTTTTTTTCCAAAGGGAACATACGAAACATTTGGTGCATTTATGCCATAAGAATACATAAGTAAGTAGAGAAGAAATATAGTAAACAAATGCTATATAATATTTCTTATAAAGTTAAATATTTAGCTGCTCAGATTTATATAATATTTCCTATAAAGTTAAACATTTAGCTGCTCAGGTTTATATATTTCCTATAAAGTTAAACATTTAACTGTTTAAGATATTAAGTATATTCAGCTAAATAATTTTTCAGGCCATAAATTTAAATCCCATTTTATGTGTTTCAGAATGTTCTCTTACTCAAAGGGAAATGATGAAAGTATTGCACAGAAGTTTTCTACTGGATTCATTGTATCTATTTGTTCACAGATGAGAAATACAGTTTGAAACTTCTAAAGAACATAAAGGATCATTGTGCTTTTACCTGTAGCCACAATTTGTCATGCTGAGACCACTTTCCTCCTGCAATGCACTGGAATGTTGCATTTTGCCCAACATTAACCTCCACATTTTGCAGCCGCAGGAAGTGAGGAGCTTTTCCTAACAAAAAGACAAAATATTACCAGGATAGAGCATCACAATGCATAATGATAGCAGAAGTAAAATGAGAACCAGCCTTTTCTTTCTTTCTTTCTTTCTTTCTTTCTTTCTTTCTTTCTTTCTTTCTTTCTTTCTTTCTTTCTTTCTTTCTTTCTTTCTTTCTTTCTCTCTCTCTCTCTCTCTCTCTCTCTCCTTCCTTCCTTCCTTCCTTCCTTCCTTCCTTCCTTCCTTCCTTCCTTCCTTCCTTCCTTCCTTTCTTTTGCCAAGTTTCTCATAGAATAAATGACCTAGCAAAGTAATGCTAATCCTGTCTTTTGGTTTTCTTTTTTTTATATGCAGACTGTCTTTCCTGTTCTAGCTAAGAAGATGAAAAGAAATACAATGACCACCTTGCCATAAGCAGTGTACTATAAATAAATATTCTATAACAAAAGAATCCAACATTTCCCAGGATATTCAATTAATATTTAGTGGAAGCAAAAAGCAAATGTCCTCTGTAGAAAGATCGGTAAATAATGTTCATTTAAAAAAGATAGATATGAAGGAATAAAAATTTACAGTTACAACTAATAATTAGTAACAATAAATAAAAACATTAGCTTAGTTTAAAATTAACAAGATGAGAAGGAAGAAAGCAAGATGCTTTCTTAACTTGTCTATTAGCCATCTCCATAATGATTTACTCTAATTGGGACCTCAGGATAGTTGACAAAGCCAGGTCTTTAGGCTCTTTCAAAAGACTAAAACTATGGGTACATATCTCACCTCAGGGTCACAATGATCCAAAGAGCAGCAACCATTGCAGAAATGGCTCTTCTCTTGGACCCCACTAATCAAAATGTGTTGATTGATGGGATCCTTCTGGTGATGGATGATCTCACCCAGAAGCTTCATGTAGATGTTTAAAAGGAATGGAGAGAGGACTGAGCCTTGCAGCACACCACAAAGGGTTCAGTACTCTCTCCACTCCAGCTGTGGATTGTACTTCTCACTCCCTATCAATACCAGTTAGGATCTGCCTGGGACAGAGGAGCCAAAACAGAGCAAAGTGTACTGCTCAGCCTCAAACCCTGCAACCAACCCAAAAGGATACCACGGTCAAGGAGAACAAGGATGGATGCACTACACAGAAGACAGAAGTAAAAGGTTTATTTTACCAATTATCTTAGAGACAATAATCCAAAAACAAAGAATCACATCTCTATGTTTCATACAGCTTGAAGCTATAACTCAGTAGCAAATTAGTATTAAGAGCAACAATTTATTAAAATGTTATGCCACCCAACTCTCAATGACTCTGGGTGGAGCACAACAAAGAAATTACAATAAATCCAATAACATAAATACTACTGATAAAAGATGGCAAGTGCAATGCAGCAAGGAGTCTCATTCTCTCTCACTAAAGATCTAGGAAAAGAGCCAGGTCTTCATAGCTCTTTTAAATTACAGCAGATATGAGGCCATCTGGGTCTTGGATGGCACAGTTACTTTCAGCGAAAGTTCTAATTTACCAATTCACAGGTTTACATCATTTTCCAGACTCCCGGGTAAAAAGGAGCACCCTGACCACCTTTCATGCTGGAGCTTTGCTTCCAGAATATCTGCAATATTGGGTTGTTTGTTTTTTCATAATGTCTCTGGCATTACAAATATATAACCAAAGCAAATGGTTTTTGTATATCAAAATCTATTTCTTCTTCCGTTCATTGAATAAATACAATGCATGTACTTTATTAACTGATGTTGCCAACTTTTTGAATATGTTCGGTTCTGTGCTATTGCTACATTCCAGCAGCAAAAAATTCAAGATATTCACTAAATTTAAGTCTACAAAGGTTCCATTATCAGAAAATTTACCCATTTATCCAGTACTAAATAATATGCTAAGTGACAACATTGCAATGATTATTTTAGAATGCACTAACAGTGAAATGGGAGATCTCTGATCAAGATTTACTTCAGATTATAGCAATCTTAGAATCCAGTTATGACTATGGTGATGGAGCAGACACACTTTTAATTTTTGTCACTCATTTTTATATTTAAATTAAAATCATTCTCCAAACTTGGCTGTTTGCTTCAGATAGCAAAATCCATAGTAAGGGAAAACTAGCTAGTAACTGTCCACAACATATATTGTATTCCTGAAGAACCACATCCAGTCAATCAAGTTAAATAGTGCTATGCCATCCCTTTTAACTGGTCACTAATTTATCCATGTCAAAATGTATTGATGTACTAGCTCTTGGCTGAGGCAGGGATCTGTCATTTGAAATGGAGAGCCCTTGATACGAAGCAGTACTGCTTTAATATATTTAACCAAACGATTTTGACAGTTAATATCTTCCATTCCCTCCAACTTCAGTGTATGGACCTGTTAAATTGGCAATAATTCTGCTATTTTAAGTTCTCTGGCACTTCTGAATTAGAACAAAAGAAAGCATTTACTAATAAGAGCTGGCAAAATCTGCTTGTTTGCATGCAAACCATACTAATCTACATTTCCCAAACTGATAAGTAAAGCAGCATATAATTATTTGGGGGAAGGGGGCAGGAGATTTCCTGGCTTTAATTTCTTTGAACATTTTGATACAATTCCTTAATCACAAATAGACAAGAACAATTAGGCAAAATATCATGCAAAATTACTGCTAAAGGATGCTAGTTAGATCCTCAGTTATATGTATATTTTCTATTCCTCCTCACTGCAGTCTTGTTTCTTACAGTAGATAATTTTTATTATGTTATGTTAGCCTTGGAAAGTTAGTAACATCTCCTTCAATTGACGAAGTCATGTAGACATTTACTTGATGTCAAAAGAAAAAAACAATGCCACTTAGTTCCTATGAAATATTTTTTTAAATTTTTCCCTCTTATTTATAGGCCTAGGTTTTTTTTTAGTTGTCTTCTACTCAAGTAGTAAGAAAAACAGATCCTGTTTAGCTTTTCAAAATCATTCAGTTATTCATGAAATTCTTACTGGATGACTAGTTACTGTGACTTAGTTCACAGTGACTAATTTTCTGCACAGAGTTTTTTTTGTGGGTGGGTGGGAAGGATAGGCAGGGATTTTGAAGTATAATGGAAATAAAGGGATGAAGGAAAGAGAGCAAATGGGGCATAGAAATAAGTTTATGGTTTTAAATAAAAAGCCATACTATGTGAACAGAAGCACTTTGAAGTCAAAATTTCAATCTTCTACAGAATTTTGAACTGATTTCTGCTAATTTGAGTGGAAAGAACTCACCAGGCTAACAGGGTTATAGTTCTGCTCCCAATCTTTGTACACACTACCAATGTATGTATGGACCACCCATTCTTACATTTAAAACTTATGCTTAAAATACCACTCCATGTTCCTTTTTGCAATAACTGCACTAATAATTATCATGTCATCACAGCTGAATTTAAACCTGGAAAATCTGGAGACAATCTCTGAAAAAAAAGTTTCCAATTGTTTGGTAAGCATTCATAAAACACTGAATTACCAGTGTTAGTGTTTGGGGATAAACCCCCAAGCAGAGTATGCAGCAGCAGTCAAGCCAGGCAGGCAAATGAGAGAGAGAGTGGGCCCAAGAGTATACACACACTGGAGACAAAAACACTGTTTGTAGTTATAAAATAGTTATTTAATTCACACAGAGATTAAGAAGTGTCATTCAGTCCATATATCATTATCCAGTATATCCATCCAGTTATCAAGTCCATTAACAGTAAATACAATGTCTTTATCTGCTTGTAAATCTTCTCCTCCTGATACCTTTCTCTCAAAGACAACGCTGAATCCTCAGCTCACCAGGCAAACAGTCCTTGTGTTCAGTTGAAATGGTATCTGGCACAGTAGCCTCCAAAGTAAGCAGATAGACGTTCCAAAACAGCAGGCAGCAGACCAGGAACAGAACCAGGTGCATCCAGAAGCCGGGTCTATTACGTTTCCCTTCCTACCTTTATTGCTGCCTGCAACCGCACCCACAATGACATTGCAGTTTCTTGTGCTTAAAGCTACAAGACACTTAATCCTAGGTTTACATATTTATTCAACCCAAACCTGGTTGGTGTATCCATATACCCAACAACCAGTTTATCCATATCCTTCCTAAAAAGATCAGACTGATGCTTAAATTTACTACCAGGGAATAAAATAATCTGCCACAACTTTCTCAGTACAGATTTTGAAGAAGATTGTGACAAAAGCATCCCATTAAATGTTTTGCCAAGGTATCTGAATTTACTGAAACTTATAATTCACTATGTCCTGATTTCCCAAGAATATTCTGATAATTTTTGAAGGTGAGCAAACTTCTTCATCACACATTAATCATTAAAATGGGATTAAAATGCACTGAATAGATGAAAACCTTTGAACCAACTTAAAACAATTTGTCCCAAAGATGCTGTTTCAAAAGCCGACTGGATTTTTTGGGTTTTCTTTGAAGACATTTTGCTTCTCATCAGAGGTGGTATTCAACAGGTTCTGACCAGTTCTGGAGAAAAGGTAGTGGAAATTTTGAGTAGTTCGGAGAACCAGCAAATACCACCTCTGACTGGAGATTTTACAGTATCCTTCCCCTGCCACACCCACCAAGCCACGCCCACAGAACAAGTAGTAAAAAAAATTGAATCCCACCACTGCTTCTCATCCAAGAAGCTTCTACAGCTCTGACTGGATGGTGGGGAATGGATTTATTCTTCTGCAGACAGCTGGTCATTTGCATTATTTTAGCAAGTTGTTAAGGCCACCTGGAGTTTATCTGATAAACCTCCAGATGTGGTGCAATGGGTGTGGACTGTGGAGCCTTCTTGGAACTGCTGAAAGGACTGTGTTGTAGATTGGAGATAGATAGTGTCATATCACCCTTCTGTTGAGAGAGGGCTGTTCAGTTTTGACATGGATGGCCTCTTTGACCTCTCTTTCAAACCAGTGGTCCTCTCTGTCCAAAATGTGGACTTTGCTGTCTTTAAAGGATTGACCTTTGCTTTTTTTAAATACAAATGGACTGTTGAATCTAGTCCGGATGGGTTTATTCTCCTATGTTGCACTATGCATTTATGGTTAAAGCAGTTTGATTCAAGAGTTCCAGTCTCATTTTGCAAGAGTGAAAAATGGTTGATTGAATTATTTACGGTAGATTTGCATTATTTTCATTATATTGTAGGTGAGGGCTCTTCAACATTTTGTCCTTTAACTAACAACCCTTATAACACAGAATCACCATGAGTGAGTTGAGAGGCCATAAAATTTTCTTTAATAAATAAATAATAAACACAGAAAGATCTGTAGCAAACTGTGGTGATGCCAACATGACTACATGCAGATACATCATCATACAAATGCCACTACAGGTAATCCTCAACTTACAATAGTTCATTTAATAACCATTCAAAGTTAAATCATCACTGAAAAAATGTGACATGACTATTTTTCACACATAAAATCATTGCAACATTCCCATGGTTATGTGATCAAAATCTGGATGTTTGGCAACAGACTTGTATTTATGATGGTGCAGTATCCTGGGATAATGTGATCACTTTTTGAGATCTTCTGACAAACAAAGTCAATGAAGAAGCCAGATTCACTTAACAGCTGCAGGGATGAGGTAAAATTCATTTAACAACTATCTCACTTAGCAAAATAAATTTTGGGCTCAAATGTGGTTGTAAGTCAAGGACTATCTATATTATGTACTGATGTGTGTACATCAGACACATAAGTCAACGCATTTGCATGATGACCTTGTCACATATTTTCATCATTTATCCCTTCAGAGATATCTACTCTGTCAAAGTAAGTTGGAACAAGGCTGCATGGCCCAAAGTGATTCGAGAAACTAACTGTTAAATTTTCTGTGGTTTATCTAAAAATCTGTGCTTAGCTTCTCCCAGTTGGTGGGAGTAAAAATGCTTTAGTCTGCTTACTTTGTCCTAATTATTAAGCTCTCCATAGAAATAAAAAAGCCAGATAATTCCCATGATCATACAAAATAGCCTAAATTAAAATTAAAATTCATACTGTGTAAGTTTGTTCTTTACTGTTATAAACTGAGTATCTTTAATGTCAATTTGATACAGATTCCTAATTGAATGCTTTTAAAATAAATCTGAATAGAACAGCTGAAAGAAATACAGTAGCCTAGGAAATGTAGCAAAACAATCTTTGACTTATTTCTTTATTTCACAGTGTGAGTCACATGCATATACACACACACACAAACACAAAGTCTTTCAAAGAAGCACTGCAAAGATTTACATTTCTTTAAAGAAAAACACTCCAGGCCTTTTTTGACAGTGTGAATGTTGCACTAATTTGCTTAGTTGTGTTAAAGAAGGTTCTCCTCCCTATCCCAACTTTCTCTCTTTAAGTTAATTCTATAGGGAATCACTAAAACCCTGTAATTCTCTCCCTTCAATGGTCCTAACAATCAGGGCTTTATTTCCCTTTAATAATGGTTTAAAATTTTGGCACTTGCTGCACATTTGAAGCAGCTTTGCTTGTTGTACAACTTGAGAAATTATGTATTTATTCAGGGCTGATTGCTTCCACTCTGCAAGCATTTGGAATAGATAAAAGGAAATGCTTCAGAACTGACTAAATTGGTTAAATTACTCATTTGAACATGAAAAGCATTGCTATGGTTAGGAGGGAATGGGGGGGGGGGGATGCTTACTGCATGGATGAGCAAGGACTCTGACTTCATCCACAGCTATGTATCCGGGGTGACCCTTCAAGGAAACCGATTCAAATATGACCTGAAATTCATAGGAGACAACAAGCTGATTAAGTAAACAATTGAAAATTATACACAAAACATCCCTCTAACATCCCTTAAGTACAAAGGATTCAGATTCTGTAATATATGCTTTGCAGATAGTCCTTGTTTAGCAAACACAACTGGGAATAGTAACTCAGTTGTTAAGCAAAATGATTACTAAATGAAACCGCATCTATGTTTATGGTCTTACTTCAGCTTCCCTTTGCTTTACAGACCTGTGAAGGTCATAAATGCAAGGATTGATCATAACCACTGTAATTGAATGGTCACTAAACAAGTCAGTTGCTAAACAAGGACTACCTGTATTCCACAGAACAACCCACTCAGTTTCCAAATTTACTTATGTAGATATACATAAGTATATTTCAAAGACCCTCCTCCAAAAAGTGTGCAAATATGCATGCATGTAAAACACTGTACATTAAAAATCGGTACCAGAAATAAATATAATCATGAAGCCAGCTAAATCTTAATTAAGTCCTAGAACTATGATGGCAGAAAGAATGAAAAATTATAGAATGCGTTAATAGCCAGACAATAAATGGTTAAAAAATATGTGCTACAGAAGACACCTGAAAAGAATGTACAAGATTTTATCAAGATGCTTCAAGACAAGTTATGAAGTGTTATAAAGTCCTTGAAAATATTTTTTTTCTGATAAGATTCTTCAACTCCCTATAGTTATGGATTGGTCATAGAAAACAACATCTTGATGAGATGGTTAACTATCAGAATTTAATGAATGATAAGGAGAAAATAGGTGAGGCTAAGAGCAATCAACTTGATGTAATCCAGCATTGTTTATAAAAAAGAGGGAAGAGAAATCTGAAGTGCCATTTTTATTCCATCAAGATTCATCCTGAAAGACATTCCAAGGTGATTTCCCATGCTCTTTCATTGCCTGGCAACAAGAAGGATATTTGATATGTAAGATCTAAATGATGGATGTTCATGTGTGGCTAGAATACAGCTTTTAACATCTAACAGAAGCCCCCTAGAATTGTTGGATGATGTTGTTGGATGGTCCTAATTCTATAACAGAGGACAAACCTCTTCTTAAAGACTCAATTGGTTGAGAGTAAGGGAAATAGTAAAGAAATCATGACTGAACAGAGGTGCTAAGATCCACAAAAAGAGAAAAGTGAGAAGTTGAAGCAATATATAGATATGGTAAAAATAAATGGTTCCTGAACCATTTTAGTGTCATGAGGTTCTCTGAGTTTTTCTTTCTTATTTTCTCTATGTTCTCTGATTGGTTGTTTTCTTGCAGACATTTCATTATCCCAAACTAGGTAACATCATCAGTGCTAAAATCAATGCATTTTAGTTTTATCTGTATTTATTTTTTATCTCATATGTTTACATTTTGGAGCAAAGTATTTCTTGTTTTTGGGGTGATTCACACCCCACAGAGCAATACCCTGAAATTTTTTTCATGTACAGTGAATGATTAATGCATATGTGTATGTGTATACACACACACACACACACACACACACAAACACACAATTTTTTCAGGTTGTTCTAAATGGTTTGTACAAAAGATAGCATTAGTCATTGTGATTTTGGCATTTCCCAAACAAGTAGTTCAATCATGACACAATTATCTAATTTGTTGTCAACATTAATATTCAGAAAGAGAGCAATTTGGGGATTTTTTTTAAAAAACAGATGTTTCATTCCTTTAGGAGTAATCTTCAAAAGTCATTCTAAAAGTAGGCATAACCAAAATCAAACTTTGCGTACTCTATGTCCACTTCTTTCTGCTCCTGAATGAATGAATGAATTCATCATTGGACAAGTGTGATTAGACACACAAGGAATTTGTCTTGGTGCATATGCTCTTAGTGTACATAACAAGGAAAGATACAATCATTAAGAATCATAAGTACAACACTTAATGATAGTCATAAGGTACAAATAAGCAATTTCCTTAGAGAAGTAAATTTCCCTTTTCCTTCTCACTCAATCATATGACCATGATTACTGATGGAAAAAAAATGGTAAATAATATTCAAGAAGCCTGCTGAATAAAAGAGAAAAATACATTTATTGTAAGTGATTGAACATCCAAGGCTGCAAGAATTTAGGAATACCTGTCAGATTTACTGCTTAGGTTCCTATTGGACAGATTTTAAAAAATACCCCATTTCAATTTAATGTAGTATATACTGTGTCTGAGGATAGTCTAATTCTCTGCATGGCAAGGAAAACCAGACTGTACATATCAGTAGATTTTAGCTCTCATGCTGTTAGGACATATTCGTATGTTTGATTTGTGAATTGTGGTCATTTTAATTAATTTTCTTACTATTATTCCTACACAAATGAAGGCAAATACAGGTGAAACTCGAAAAATTAGAATATCATGCAAAAGTTCATTTATTTCAGTAATGCAACTTAAAAGGTGGAACTAATATATAAGATAGACTCATTACATGCAAAGCAAAATAGTTCAAGCTGTGATGTGTCATAATTGAGATGATTATGGCTTACAGATCATGAAAACCCCAAATCCACAATCTCAGAAAATTAGAATATTGTGAAAAGGTTCAATATTCTAGGCTCAAAGTGTCCTACTCTAATCAGCTAATTAAGCCATAACACCTGCAGAGGGTTCCTGAGCCTTTAAATGGTCTCTCAGTCTGGTTCCCAATCATGGGAAAGACTGCTGACCTGACAGTTGTGCAGAAAACCATCATTGACACTCTCCATAAGGAGGGAAAGCCTCAAAAAGTAATTGCAAAAGAAGTTGGATGTTCCCAAGGTGGAAAGTTATGTGGAAAGGGAAAAGTGTGGAAGAAAAACGTGCACAAGCAGCAGGGATGACCCCAGCCTGGAGAGGATTGTCAGGAAAAGGCCATTCAAAAGTGTTGGGGACTTTCACAAGGAGTGGATTGAGGCTGGAGTCAGTGCATCAAGAGCCACCACACACAGAAGGATCCTGGACATGGGCTTCAAATGTCGTATTCCTCTTGTCAAGCTGCTCCTGAACAACAAACAACATCAGAAGCATCTTACCTAGGCTAAAAAAAAATAGAACTGGTCTGTTGCTCAGTGGTCCAAAGTCCTCTTTTCTGATGAGAGCAACTTTTACATCTCATTTGGAAACCAGAGTCTGGAGGAAGAATGGAGAGGCACACACTGCAAGATGCTTGAAGTCCAGTGTGAAATTTCCAGAGTCTGTGTTGATTTGGGGAGCCATGTCATCTGTTGGTATTGGTCCACTGTGCTTTGTTAAGTCCAGGGTCAACGCAGCCGTCTACCAGGAGATTTTGGAGCACTTAATGCTTCCTTCCACAGATGAGCTTTATGGGGATGCTGGCTTCATTTTCCAGCAGGACTTGGCACCTGCCCACACTGCCAAAAGCACCAAAACCTGGTTCAATGACTGTGGGATTACTGTGCTTGATTGTTCAGCAAACTCACCTGACCTGAACCCCATAGAGAATCTATGGGGCATTGCCAAGAGAAAGATGAGAGACATGAGACTGAACAATGCAGAAGAGCTGAAGGCCGCTATTGAAGCATCCTGGTCTTCCATAACACCTCAGCAGTGCCACAGGCTGATAGCTTCCATGCCATGCCGCATTGAGGCAGTAATTGCTGCAAAAGGGGCCCAAACCAAATACTGAGTACATATGCATGCTTATATTTTTCAGAGGTCCGATATTGTTCTATGTACAATCCTTATTTTATTGATTGCATGTAATATTCTCATTTTCTGAGATTGTGGATTTGGGGTTTTCATGAGCTATAAGCCATAATCAACACAATTATGACAAATCACAGCTTGAACTGTCTTACTTTGCATGTAATGAGTCTATCTCATATATTAGTTTCACCTTTTAAGTTGCATCACTGAAATAAATGAACTTTTGCATGATATTCTAATTTTCGAGTTTCACCTGCATACTGTCCCAGGATAATCGTTGCATGAACTAATCTGGGTCAGTCACTGGGTCCAAAAGTTTAGTCTTCTGAGATTTGGGCTCCAGCATGGGTATGAAAGCTCAGAAGATTAAACCTTTGGTCCTGCTGACTGACCCAGATTAGATCCTGCATTGTTGTTTACTACCCTTTTCCTTCTCCAAGTTCCTTAAGAACCCGATTGTGATGCAGAAATGTCACTAAAGAAGATTGAGCTAAAATTAGTTGTTTATTGTTGATGGATGCAATTCATTTAACAGAAAAATATTTTAGCTCTTTCTCACTTCCAATTGCAAAATTGAAATAAAATATAATAAAAACCAATTGAAAATGAGCAATTTGCTCTTTAAAAGCTACAGTGGCCCACAGGCTGCAGCTTGCCCACCACTATGGTCAAAGAAAAGAAATCTCAAGTATACCTGGTAAAAGTGTGGCCAGAAAGTACTGATCGCAAGCTCTGCTTTCACCCAACCTTCTGTAACAAGCCCAGAGACATTCCAGATAGGGTTGCCTTGAGGTCCACCATTCACTTTCACATAAACATTCAAGGATCCAGGGCTAGAACGGTCACGGCTGGACAAGTAGTAATGGAAATCAATGCAGTGAGTGTCGTTTTCCTTCAGTGTTGGTAAAAGCAAGTGGGCCTTTTGCCCAGATGCCCTCCCAGAACTATTCACCATCATGAAGGAGCCTACAAAGAAAAGAAAAGAAAAGAAAAGAAAAGAAAAGAAAAGAAAAGAAAAGAAAAGAAAAGAAAAGAAAAGAAAAGATCAGTAGTTCCTTTTGTTGTTGTCAGTTGTTAATATTACAATTAAATTAATTAAAGAGTCAATAGTTCTAAATAATAGGGCCAACAGTCGGAAATCCAAACAGCTGTTAATTTTCTTAGCTCTATTACTATTATTATAATTCAACGCTTTTCTGGTGGGGAGGGAAACACCAAGAATGACAAAAATACGTTTGTATCCACTGCTTGCATCATAATCTAAAAAGGGCCATTTGTTATTATTTTCAGATTTTTCAGCCTTGGATTTCAAACTGTCTGAAAGGAAAATATTGACTTCAGACATGAAGAGCATATCATACTTCCTTTTCGCTCTACTGAAGTTACGCTACCAGACTCTTTTTATTGCATACACAAACACTATTAAGCTGTCTGTTTTTATAACATGTCCATATTTATAGATTACAATATATCAAGAATCCTACAATTTGGGAAGTCAGTTATTTTTTTTTGAGAAACCACTGAATTGTATTAAGTAGAGTTTTCAAAATGATTGTTTCAGTGGCATGGCTATTTACACAGCTGTCATCTACAAGATGGAAAACTGGTAATGGTAGAAGAACCATATTTACTAAGGAGCCTAACTATAAGGTGAGAAATAAAGTCCAGAATTTAAAACCACTCTTTGGAATCTTCATTTTTCTGCTTCAATAGCTTTTGAGACAGAAACTGATAAGATTCGGAGATTATGAGTCAAAGTGTTCAACTCCAAATTCACACATTTGTTCCTGCAAAAATGTGAGAATATATTTAAAAAGCTTCACTCATATATGCACATAGTCTAAGCAGAGAAAAAAATATGCCAAAATAAATAAACTAACAAAACACCCACAACCACATACATATTTACGGACATTTTGTTCAACTTCAGTAAAACAAAATTTTATATTATAAGTTATTGTACAAGTTTGATACATGATTTCTACAATCGACTTATTCTATCATGTCTACTTCAGACATGGAGTCAATATCCACCAGTGAGATAAACTGACATCTGGTAACATTACTGTGGTGATAAAATACTAATATGAGCAGGGTTGATATTCCTAAAGCAATGGTTGGATGATTCCATAAATCACTTGCATGGAAGACGTCATGTACTTTTTGCTGTAGTTGCTGACTAGATAGTTCAATAAATAACCAACTAACCCTGAGATTAGCGATCTAAGTAATTGTCTGGATCCTTGCTTCTAAATTATTCTTGGTGGGAAAAAAAGTACTCCACAGTTTGATAGTAGAAGTTCTTCCTAAAACTTCAAACTGTTCAATGTTAATCCAAGTAGCATACTTTACTCATTTGTTTATTTGATTTATATGTCTCCCCACCTTGTAAAAGACAACTCTGTGTGGTTCACAACAATAATAAAAAAACCACAATAAAAAAACCAAAATAATTAGAACCTGACCTACCACTGCCAGCCAGCCAGCCAGCCAACCAACCAACCAACCAACCCTGTCTCACCAGATGATAACACTGAAGGGATGGAACCTGGAATGTGCCCACTCTATTTAACCTAGGAAGATATCTTTTGGGACAGGCAATTTTGCAAATAATTTGGCCCTGTGCCCTATATGTCCAACACTTTCAATCAGGGTTCATTCAAAGGAAGCCTAACTATTGAAGCCTAACCTAAGATTGAAGAAATCTTCACAAAAATGTCAACTCTAACTGTATGTCTTTTTATGCAAGTAAAAAAGCACTTCTTCGTTGCTGATGTTACCAGGGCTGTCATTTAAATAAGTACTGAGTTAGGAATAAGGCCCTTTGAAGCCAATGGAAGATATGCTTCAGCAGTAGTAAAATGCTCTGGTTTGCAGATAAATAGTGGGCAAATTATTGTAATGCTGCCAGCCATTTAATTACTTGCTTAGAGCAAGACTTCAAGTTTTCTGTACAAGATAGGATTCAGTAATAGAAAGTGCCCTGGTTATGGGAACACAATATAGGCAGGCGACCTGTCCTTCCTCTTTGAAATATACAATTCTGGTATGTATACATAGAGGCAAACTGAGTTCAGTGAAGCTTTTTCATTTATGAAAAGTTCTTCTTGCTCTCCTTGGCTCTGTCTCTGTGGAAGTTAGGTGTCCAGTCTCTCTGGCAGTCAAAGCCAAAATAGTCATAGAGGGAAGTCCTGAAGGAGCAGCATGCCTGCAGCAGTTCTATGTAGCCAAGAACCTGAATAAATCACAGATCCTCACTACATCAGCAGCAGCATGGTTGAGGAAGGTAAAAATCATTTGTATGGCAAAATACACACAGTGTTAGCAAAAAAGAGGAAGAAAGACTCCTAAATTTAAATATATGTTGCTTATAAACTGATGTTTAGTTTGTGAGACATTATTGTGCCTTGGTTATCAGGGCATCTTTTCATCTTTACTTTTAATTCTCCTTTTCCTATCTAACTGATCTTTGAAGTAGTGTCTTCTCTCTCTTTCCCCATCTTCTTTTCTTTCTCAATCTGCCTCCAACTTTCTTTCTCTCTTTTCCTCTGCTGCTTTCCCATTCTTCCTCTTTTCCTTCTGGAGAATTGTTAAATAAAACACACTTTTCTCTTTCATCATTTTTTAAACAAAAAATACAATTTCAGCTATGATTAGAAATGGTGGTAGACTTTAGGAGAAACCCTCCCTTACTACCACCTCTTACAATACTAGACAACACAGTATCAACAGTAGAGACCCTCACATTTTCAGGTTCTATCATATCACAAGACCTAAGATGGACTCCTAACATCAAAAATGTCATCAAAAAAGCACAACAAGGAATATTCTTTCTGCATCAACTCAGAAAACTCAAACCCAGGAGCTGCTAATACAGTTCTACAGAGGAATTATTGAGTCTGTCATCTGTACATCTATAACTGTCTGGTTTGGTTCTGCAACCCAACAAGACAGACACAGACTTCAGAGAGTAATTAGGATCTCAGAAAAAACAATTACTACTAACCCGCCTTCAATCCAGGACCTGTATACTACATGAGTCAAAAAGAGGGCTGTGAAAATATTTACAGACCCCTCACGTCCTGGACATAAACTGTTTCAACTCCTTCCCTCAGAATGATGTTATAGAGCATTGCACACCAGAACTACTAGACACAAGGACAGTTTTTTTTTCCTGAATGCCATTATTCTGCTAAACAAATAATTCCCTCAACACAGTCCAACTATTTACAAAGTCTGCACTACTATTACTATTAATCTTCTCATCACTCCTTATCACCCATCCCCTCCCACTTGTGTCTGTATAACTGTAACTTTGTTGCTTGTGTCCTTACAATTTATATTGACGATTTCATGGTATGATTTGATTGCTTATTGTACCTTATGACTATTATTAAGTGTTGTACCTTATAATTCTTGACTTTTGATGAATGTATCTTTTCTTTTATGTACACTGAGCATTTGCACCAAGACAAATTCCTTCTGTGTCCAATCACACTTGGCCAATAAAGAATTCTATTCTATTCCCAAAGTCCTAGCTTTCTTTCTTTCTTTCTTTCTTTCTTTCTTTCTTTCTTTCTTTCTT